ATCCAAACAGGCCTAAATCACACCAATCACCTGCTGGATGCATAACGGTCCACGTCTCCGCCCTGCCTTCTCCCAGGGTATCCTGATCAATCAATCTGTCCCACGCAGCCCTGAATGTGTCTGGACAACCGCCTTGTGTAATCAAGCTTGAGTGGAAAAACAGCACCTCTCTGTTAATCACAATGCAACAGCGGGCAGCCACAAGGCCGCCAACAGGTATCCATTTACTCAAAGCCACCTCATATAACCCCCAGCAGTTGTGCTAGTTTCCTATTTTGCCCTTGTTGATGAATAGCATGTCTAATTTGCAGTACATTAGTACAGACCACTCAGCAAGACAAAGTGTAATTGAACAAAATATCTTTAATAGATATAAACTTTTTTTGTGTGTTTGTTTTTACACATCACAGCTCAATGGAAACAGAATCACATGCTGACACACATGTTAAGAATGAAGGCATAGGGGCAATCTGCTACCGTTATGGGCCTACGACTCATTTTGTCTGAGTCCGGCTCGTGGTTCCACTCTGGACTAGCAAGTAAAGCAGAAAGACATCAAAAATAACTGTAAAAAATAAGAACGAAGGTGCGATTTTGATGAATATTAAACTCTCCTTATATACAGTTGCACAGCATCAGGGTACAAAAGGAAATAGTTAAAGTATGAGGCTTAAATAAGGACTGAGCTCGGTCATCTGCAGATCAGATTCTGTGTGGGCTTTCGCGCAGATTTACAGAAGTACAGAAAACTGTAGCTGGGATTTCAGGATTTACACAGCATCTTATCTGCAATAATATAACAGTACCAACTGACTCCATCCAGAGATTTAGGGATCAGATTGAGGCATTTTAGCGTGCTATGGGAGGAAAAGGATGTGAGTTCACTGTAGTAGTATTTTACATCTTGTCAACACTAAGTGGCGCTCTCAAATCAATCTACTGCAGCAGGCAAAAGTTTTTAGGATTAAAAATATCAATATGTTCTCTAGCACTGTACTCTGGATCAAAAGTTCCCCGGCTCCTGCTGGAAACGTTTGAATCAAAGGATACATCTTGTCACGTAGGAAACCATTACTTGTATATACTGTACATATCTCTAACTGCATATGGCTGTTTTGCTTTTCTTGGCCATCATCTTTGACATAAATACTCTTTACATTATTATATCAAGGGAAGGCATGAGAAAAATAAATGTGAACATCACATATTTACAGTAATCTGAATAAGTGACAGTGAATTGTCGATTTCTATCTTTATGGCACCCATATTGTGTTTGTAATATATATTTTTTTTTATCTTTTCATGTGACCAGTAGTCCTATACAAGTTTTACTTGCAATAACCCTCGCTACACTTGCACAGTCTTTTACATAAGCGATACAGACAGGCACTCGACCTTACAGTGTTTACAGTATGTGCTATGCAAAGGGTCTGTCTGTCTATCTGTGCCTACCTACCAACACTAACCATCAAAAATGCAACTCCCATCCTCTCTTATAGTATCTACTTTACCTTTTTTCTCTTTGTTAGTAATACAAAAATAATCAGTGTTGTTATCTGTGAACTGGGAAAACTGGAGAATGTCTTAACGGCAGCACATTTACAGCACACCTGTCAATTAAGATCAGGGACTATATTCGGCAACTCTTGAAGAAATTTTAATTTGTGTTAGAGTTTTTTGTTTAATTGGAAATCCGTTCACGTAAAATTAGGTTACAGCTGGGGAGCTAAACAGTGACTTTAAATCCCTTTAGGTTTGGGTTAGTTTCGAAATCGTGCTCTCGCTTTCTCTGACATGCAGGAATACCAACAGTCCATTCAAGGGGGGGAAACAAAAACATTATATTTTATGAGCTCCTAAGTAAGGGAGAGCATGCTGATGAAAACTGACACACAGATACGCCGCTGCTCTTTTTTGTCTATCACCCTGGATTCTCCTTTGTCTTTTGTGGTCACTATTCAAACAGATCCATGAGGCTGAGGAAGGATGATGTTTACATCCATGTTGGCACTAGTTTGTAACAGTACAAGAGCGACTCTGGTTTCTTTATGTGATTCTGTTGTGCACCGAACATTACTGAAGAGTTTGAAATCAGCTTGAGTAGTGGTTATTCTCCCAGTGGAGAGCGGTCAGCAGCAGCGTGCATCAGTTCATGTCGATGGTGTTAAACACCCACTCTGTAAACTTCTTCAGCTTGGCGGAGGCGCTGTAGGACTCCTCGAGGAGACGCTGGTTGTCCTCTCGCAGGCTCTCAATTTGAGCTTGTAGTGATGCCTTGGCATCCTTCTCCTAATGGTTACAAAAGGCACATGCAAACAATTTGAGTTAGATACTAATACTTAGATTTAGCATCGATATTTGAGGTTGTGCCGAAGAGGAACAGGATCAGTCTAGCATCACAAATCACCTTCTTTAGGTCCTCCTGTAGTGCCTTCACCATGGATTCTAGCTGGCTCACTTTCCCCATCAAACAAGCTGGAGTCTCTCTGTGAGAGGAAAAAGCTTGACATTAGCTGGGACCAACATCTCACCTTAAATCATGGGTAAATGTTTCTTAGTCCAGTCTTTCTCAGTGATGGTACATGTAGCTTGGCAATCCCCAACAAACACTATTGTACTATTGGCACTGGATGAAAGCAAACATTGGATCTAGGCCATGACCTGAGGCCTCTCACCCTGGCGAAGGCTGTCTCAGTGGAGCCGCCTGAGGCTCGGCCTGCTGGGGACTGGTGGCTGCTGCTGCTGCTGCACTCTCAGCCATGGAGTTCTCCTCCTGGGCTGCTAGGAAAACCAGCCTCTGCTCTGATGTATTAAAAAAAAAAAGTCAAATGTTATGTTATCTGACCTAAACAGAGAACAAATACAGTGTAACAGTGCCCTCTTCTGATAGAAATTAAGATAACAGGTGGATTTCTCTATTACAAAACTAACTTAACCTTCACCTCAAATGTCTTTTTGTTTGTGGTTTGTTTTTAAGGATGAAATGAAAACATGACGCCTGGTTACCCTCAAAGGCCTTGGCAGCATCTACCAGGTGGGCCCAGTCAAGCGGGCCATCTGCCCCCGTGTCAGGCAGGGGCATGAGGACAGGCTCTTGCAGCTGTTGTTTCTTCCTCTCTTGGTCCAGCTCTGAACTGTCTGGGGCTGACAGGTCTCCTGGGAAGGAAAAGAACACAGTCAAACACAATGAATGAGATTTGTATCTGTTTTTAGGGGGCTGAAGATGAGAAACTTTATAGTCAACGCTTTTAGCACGGCATGGCCAAAAGACTTTTTCAGTAGCAGTGTGCTTAGTGTGTTTAAGCTTTTATTCCATTATCTGCAGATTTACGCATACTGTATATACAGTATTGTGTAAAAATCTTTAGCCACCCTCATATCTTTAGATTTTGTTGGGAAAACTGGAAATGGATGCAAAGAGGTATGCACACGTACATGGTAATACCACATATAAGGCAAAAAAAGAGTTTGTACAATTCTAACAAGCTTAAAAGTTCTAATAATACTTTGCATGACCACTTTTATTCTTCAACACAACTCTTTTAGACAAGCTTTCCTCTAATTTCTTTAAGTATCCCTCGGGAATAGTTCTCCGGGCTTCTTGGTGGACATTAAAAGCTCTTCCTTAGATATCGGCTACATTTATGTTCTGTTCTCTCTCAGAATGATCCTACACTGCTTGCGTAATGTTAAGCTCTGGGGAGGACATTCTTTTTCAATCCGGGTTTGCTGAAGACATCTTTAAAAATTTACAACAAAGTCAGGCTCCTTGGAACAAAAACAAAGGGTTGGCTCAAGACTATTGCACAGCAGTCCATCTGCTCCGTTATGAACAAGAGGTCACCACCACAGCACATAACGAAGCATGTTTGAGTTAGAAGGGTTTTTTTACGCGGGAAACTCTACACTTTGGAGCCACTACAAGTTCAATCACATAAACTAAATGTTTACCGAGGGATTTGTGCGATGCTCGCCGACTCGGTCCGTGGCGGGCGGTGGGTGAACGTGGCATGGTGGAACAGGAGAAAAGAAGGTCAGTAGGCGTTTCACGCTGTCCACTAGATGACGGCTCCCTCTGCCCGCTGTAAATGCTCTCGTCAGACAGGGTTCTCTGAAGGGAACGTCGACTAGGTGGGGGGCCTGGAAACAACGGCTTCACGAAGGGATGGAAGCAGACGAGAAGACTCAGGTAAAAAGCGAGAAAAAGAAAAACTTTGCATGAAAACACTGAAGGGTTTTTAATGATATTCTATTAGGGTTGTGCCATATCATATTGTCTGTGATAGTAATTATAAACACTTTTTAGCAGGGCTTTAAACAGCTGGTTAAAAACCCAATATGCTATATCCCAGGTAGTTTTATCATGTGGTCTTGTGCGGCCCCTGAAGAGTTACAATATCAGGTTACATTAGCTGTTGTTAAACTAACTTTTTGTGTTTGTGAGAACCTTCACAGACATAAAGTATTTAACAGATATTTTATATTTTGCTTACAATTTCCAGGTTATCTAACATGCTATTGTGCTTACATTTGACTTGTGAAGCTTTGCTACTATGTAACCATAATACTGCTGGCACCTCGTTTTAAAACAGTCCTTGGTGAAATGACAAACGCTACATGACCATGAACATATAGACTTCCTTACTTGGACTGATGATGAGGTGAAACTGCTATTTTAAGCAGCACAAGATGAACATAATGTATACACAGATACAGAAAACAAGCCTTAATTTGTTATCAAAGCAAATGTAGTGGTTTATTAGAGTGGTACCAGGAGCATTATCCATAATCATACAGTTACAGTAGCGGGAAAAGAGTAGAGCCTGACTGATACCGATACTGTACCAATATTTGGTTGATTCAAAACGCTGATATTCTCTTATATCACCTGAGTTTTTTTCTTTAACACAGGAAATATAAACATATTTCTTTAACATTTCTTATGTGTAGTTATTTATTTACTCGTTTAAGAGCTGTCCGACTTTGCTTGGATCAGCATGTTGTTTTGTTTGTGGTGTTCCTAACAGTTGCGGAGTGCCATCTGGTGGACAAAGTATGATAGCACAGTTAAAGGGTGTTTCTTCAGTATTGACCACTATAAATGCTAATACTGACAGATCGTCAAATTGCTGTTATCGGTCGGCTGATAAATCGGTGCGGCTCTAGTTAAAGTAAAAGATTCGTTAAAATACATTAGCCTAATTTTTTGTGACCAATAAGGCTCAGTCAGGAAGCAAACCTGGGTGTCTATGTTATTTTTGTTTTCCCCTCAAAGAGTCTTTTTTCAAAGAGTGAAGATGTAGTCATGAGTGGGCAAAGTAATATAATAGCTTATCGAAAACATCTCCCTGTACCTTCTCTTCATTTGTAGTGGGTGGAGGGCTGTCAAGTGTGATGAGCTTTTTTAAGTCTTCCTCCAGGCTGGACTTTGCAGTGTGCCGCTGGGGAGACTGGGAGCCCCGGAGATTGGCCCTGAGCTGGGGTTGACCACCCAGCAAACCATCACTCTGGTGCCGTCTGAAGATTAACATAAAAAAAAAAAAAACGAATTCAGGCAGAAATCTCTAGAAACGACAAAGCATGTCTGTGATTAGCAGCGACCAGTTCAAATGCTCAGAATGGCAATGGCAGCTGTAACTGTTCCCAAACCAAAGTGTTGGTGATCTGTAGTCGAATAAATTACTGATTTATTGTGCCAGGAAAAAACGGTTTGTGTGAAAACATTTACCACCAACACAAAAGATAGGAATCGGCTTTCTGACCAAATTCAATATGTGAGAATAAGAGTGGAAAATTTTTTTGTCTTCCTACAAACCAAAGAATATTGATCTACAATATTACAGAGTACAATACAAAGCTCCTTCAGAAAACTATAAATAAAACTGAATAGAATTGAATTGATGTGGGAAAAAATAAAAAACTCACCACACGGTGGCGCTGCTGACCAACTTTTTAAACAACACCTTTAAAATTAGCTGACCACTCAGTGAGACAAACATAAAATATTCCCCATGGCGACATGACTGACAGCAGGATCCACTCTGCACTGAGTTATAATATTTTATCTGCATGCAATGGTGCTTTAGAAACAATTTTGAACAGATGTTTAGTAAAATAATTATTTCCATCTTACTTGCGAGTGCTGCCAAAATCCACCGAGTTAACAGTTCCCCCAGGCTTCCTCCAGCCAATGAGATACTTTGAGGTGGCTCCTTGACGAGGGTAGAAGCTCTTGGTACCTGGGGACTGGCAGTTTGAGGATGTGGGTGATGTGGGCACAGGGGCAGCCTCATCCTGGGGGGACATGGGCCTGCAGCCTGATGGACCAGAAGAGGCTGAGCTGGGGACAAAACAAAAAGCAAGGGCAGAAAAGTGTGACACAGCCTTATAATTTCATCAGTATCAAACACAGAGACCCGACTGATTGAAAAGAAAATGCATTAGTGATGCATTTTCATTGCACTGATATATTTTATTTTTCTTCATGTTTAACTATCAAATTACCTTAGTTACCTTTAATAAAGCTGAACAAACAACAAAGAGTCAGGCATCCTTAAAACCCATTAGTAAAGGTGTTCCTTCAATATATATATCCAGATATCTCTGCAGACTGGATAAAGCGATGAATTCATAAATATTAAATAAGAACACCGTGTCCTTGCACTTCATTTTCAGCTCTTTAAAATAGCATTTCTACAGAGTTTGACATTAATGCTTGAATTTTCCAACATCGAGTTTTGTGTCTGTGCACGAACTATAAAACAAAGCTGCCAATGTACAGGTCTGGTGGAGCCGAGTTATTTCTGGCTGAGTGAAGAAGAGAGGCAGGAAAGCTTTAGTTGATTCAAAGGAAGTGGGATTTAGAGGAGGGGGGAACAGTGCTGAGCTCACAGTCTGCATTTCTAGCAACTTCAAGCACTTCCTTTCTATCATGGATACCCAGAGACGGAGATACATACAAATGCAAAACCACAGACACAGATATTTTATTCTTCCGCTCTCCCTTTGTTAGTGCCAAACCGCAGAGCTTTGGACTTTTTTTCAGCTGGGACAGTGCAGGATATATCTGGACTACAATGAATCACTGTCTGTTTAATGAAACACTGATGCAAAGGATCAGATTCCTAGACTGCCTATGTAGCTAAATTCTAACAGAACAGCAGCACACCTGGAGTGGGCGGCGCCATCACTTGGGCTGTAGGAGCCGCTATCGGGACCAAGTGGCAAGGATAAGGGGCTCTTCCCTGGGATCTCGGTGCCTTGAGAGATGACAAGAGAGTCTGGAGTTGGAGGTGAAGTGTCAGCGGCCGTCTGGCCGTCTGGTGGCTCATCCTGCCAAGGGATTTTGTCTTTTGCCATGAAGGCACCAGTGGAGGAAGCCGTGCTGCTCTGCGTGGCAGTGAAGGAGGTTGCGTCAATGCCGCTGTCGCTGGAGGTACCCTGAAGATAGCCACTGAGATCCAGTTCACTCCGCACTCCGGAACGGGAGCCAACTTCGTACCACTTCTCGTCGCTGTGGGTGGAGCTGGAGGCGTTGCTTGACAGTGTGTTGCTGCTTGACTGGCTGGATGAATAGGGAGCATCTGCCTGTTACCAGATGAGAAATCTGTGATCAGTTTCTAGATAGAAAAACAGGACATTTTGCTGCGGCGTTCCCCCAAAGACTGTTTGTTTTTTATCACCTCCCATAACTCCTCATGCTGCGATCATATTTACCCCAATGTTGGAAACATTTTAATTAGTGTGCTTAGCGTAGATTGGTTCATGGCACACAAACTTTAGCTCACAGTCATATGATGCTAACTGTGATTAAACAGCAGACCTTTTGTTAGCACAGGGCCTCCTTTATCAGTTTAGGAAGGAAACTACATCTGGTGGTTGTTGGCTATCACTCACCTTGGTGCTCTTGTTAGGAGAAACGTGGCTGCTCTGCTCTGACGGCTGAAGTCGAGGAATCACCACCTTGGAAACCACGGTGTCTAAGACGTATGGAAAATTTAGAGCCCATAATGCAAAACATGTTTTTTGATTTACCAACACTGAGGTAGGAGGTAACACTGCCTACCTGAGCTGGGTTTGTCCCCTGATCTGCTAGAGGGATCACCCTCCCCAGGTCGTGACCATCCAACACCTGAGCTCGACGATACTTTGATCCCATTGACGCCCTCACCTGCCACATGGCGCACAGATGAAACGGGGGACTGGCAGTTGTTATTAAACCTGAAGAGACATAAAGATGTTGTTTTAAGTTGTTTTACGTTTTAAGAAAATATATATTTATGAAATTTAGTCTGCATAATTTGTAGCGATGAACTCACCCGTCAGGCATAGACTTTTGCCTCCAGTGGGTGGAGGCCATGGTGTCTGTGTAGGAGAGACTGGAAGGGGAGTTTGTGTTGTGCAGTGTGCGTCCCATCACAATGGAGCAGGCAAGGGCATAGTTGTCATTCCCTGGGGAATATCTGTGGACACATATGGATGCTATTAAAGACATATGTTACAACCAGACAGAAGTTAGCTCTGCATGTCTGCAAGTTTCATAACAGCATTATTGTTATTATGTGACCTTTTGGGGTTGAGCGGTCGACCATCGCTAGACACACTGCGGGGAATGGCAGCAGGGTTACTTAAGTCTGTGGGCGGGGCCTTGATGAGGGTTCCTCCCATGCCAGCAGCACGCGTTTGAGGGCTGGATGAGGTGCGTGGCCACTTGGTGTTGTTGTTTGTGGAGCGAAAGGGAAACTTTAACTCATAGGGCATGCCCTCTTTGTGGTTCTTGTAGTCCACAAGTGGCATGTGGTAGATTTCTGAGCAGCCTCTGTTGGCACATGAAGCAATCGCAGTCAGAATACTTTAAGGATAGCTTCAAAAGCCACAAACCAACACATCAACTACAGTCTCTCTTGTATCCATTTGTGACTTATATCCACAGTACCTGCGTGGCGTTGAGTCTTCATGTGGAGGAATGATGACCACCTTTACAGTGACAGAGGTTCTAAGAAGATCAATCATCTGCTCGTGGGACAGCGAGGCCACGGACACCTTGCAAATCTCCACTAAGCGGCTGCCCTGCCTGAGCCCAGCCTGCCAGGCATAGCCGTAGGGCTCCACCTCTGCTACGATCCCCTCGAAGTTGACATGAAAGCCCAGCTGGCCCAGGGCGTTACGACGTAAGGTCATCTCTGTGGTTTGGCTTCCCTTGGTCAACAACTAGAGAAAAGACGGTGTGAAAGATCAAGGTTGAGTCAGAAAGGTGGTGAAAATAAAAGGGTGGATGAAACGTATTGTTAGTCGCAAGCTGACGCACATATGTCAATAACATAACACGCATATCATAATGCATTTTTCTGCACAGTTAGCCTGATCCACGGCTCCAAGGGTTGAAGATAATTTTTTGAGCAATCCAGTTATAATTTCTTAAAATTGGTGTCTGTCAAATTTTTCAATCTTTTGGCCCTTTGAGCACCACAAGGAAAATGCTAATATGTTCAGTATTTCCAAAAGAAGAGAGCAAATTCTGCAGGTGATCTCTATAAAACTGGACAAGCAATATCAAAACAATCCAGATGAATCTGGATAAAAAGCACCATAGGCCAGAGGAAATTGACTTTTACAGATCCTGTATATGCCTTTCTTTGTTGAGTTCACCAAGTAGAAAACTGTGGTCTAAGTGTTGGATGTTAAATAGAAGATGAAGAAGAAAGAGCTCTTTCCTGTACTGTCAGCAGGAAATCCTTTTTTACTTTATCATTAAGCAGAACTGCAGTGTCTGATGAATGATTGAAACATCCCATCAAAAGTGCCGCTTTATCTAGACCACAAGGAAACCCTCAGTAATGATATGAATTAAACTACTATGCATTATGCTTGGCATGACTTTTAATCACAGGGTCAGTGCAGCATCTGTGGCTTTCTGGTGAGTCCATAATTTCAGGCTACGCCCTTATGTTGCTGTAATCATCAACAATAGTTATTTTTTTTTCAAGCTACTGTTGTCAGGGAAGTGGACAAAGGGAGAGTGTGTCCTAACACTTAAAGACTTCACCAAGCACTGTTTGGCTGCATTATTGTTCACATACACAGTGACTCACAGACTGGGACTGGTTAGCTGGGTGATTTGGATTTTTACTAGATGATACTAGAAGATAACCAGCTAAAGAGTAAATATGCTGATATAAAAGTAAGAATGCTTTCACGATAGTCACAGCTCAAAGCATCTCTGTGTGTGTTTATTACAAGATGCTTGCAGAGGTGCATTTTTTAAGGTCTGCAGCCTCTGATATCTGCAGCAGATGGTGTATGCTATAGACATGTGTGGCTACAGAAGGTAACGGTGCCCCACTGACCTCCAGTCTTTTGACAACCTCTCCAAAGTCCTCCGTGTTGTTATTAATGGAGCGCAGCGATACGCTCTCGCCGCGCTCATAGTAGATCTTCATAGAGGCGGGGCTCCCGGTTGACCAGCCAATCACATCGCGTGTGGCACAGTTAAACACGACCGCTTTGGCCTCTTGATCCAGCAGGATGATGAAGTCGTTTGAAATGGCCAACAGGCACTCGCGTTCAGCCCCGGCTACTTGATCTTCGGCATGAACCTGCCAGGTTATAGCCCCGAGGCTCCGTAGCTCCGCCCCGCTGTACGGACGCACCTTCTCCCGCCGTTTGTGTGCCAGAGAGATGAAGGGGAACTTCCCAGAGGGTTCCACTGATGTACTGGTCACGTGTCGCTCTGCCAAATCCCGCAGATACTCCTGCCGTGTCCGTGTTGCCATGGCGCCAAATTTATTTGACTTATGAGCTGCGTTCTCAGCGTTGATGACTTTGGCCAAAAGGAAGTCCCTGAACACAGTGGACTTGGGAAAGGTCACGCCTTTCGGGATTGGTGGGCCAAAGGAGGGAACGTCCTGGGAACGGGTGACAGCCACACTGCAGAAGAAAAAGAGAAAAAGAAGTTTTAAATACTCAAGAATTCATATTCTCTGGACTTTCCATTAGCAAAATTGTCAAGAAAGACAGCTGTATGTTTTGTTCCAGTTATAGATTCATTATGCATTCATTTTTAACGGTTGCCTTGACAGCGAAATACTTTTCTGTAAACACTGGGACACCATGAGCATCGTTATGGCTTTAAAGCAAGGGTGGGAAACTCCAGGCCTCAAGGGCCGGTGTCCTGCAGGTTTCAGATATCACCCTGGTCAACATACCTGAATCAAATGATTAGTTCATTACCAGGCCTCTGGAGAACTTCAAAACATGTTGAGGAGCTAATTTAGCCATTTAAATCAGCTCCATTGGATCAAGAACACATCTAAAACCTGCAGGCCTTAAGGCCTGGATTTCCCCCACCCCTACTTTAAAGGAAGGGGATTAGTCATGAATCCTGAACTGACCAATCAGAATGCATTACAAGAATGCAAGTGTTTTGATGGCAAAATTTTCTTCCTGTAAGAAAAAATCCCCAAAACAAAACCAAAGGACACAGAGGAAGGAAGTGTTATTATGCATTGATAATTAGTTTTTGTTTTTTTGAGTTGGGGTTAAGGTCCAGAAGCAGGTATAAATAATTATTTTAGCCTTTTAGCTTCATTGACTCCTATTCATTGCGGACTATCTCCCAAGCGGCCAGGCTGAATTTCTTTGTAGCTCACCTCTGACCTTTGCTCTAAAAAGGAGGGTGTTCTAATTCCTACAGGCAAAGCTCGCGTCTTGTCCACTGCTCATATTACACTTCTACACAATGGCCGTTTGAGTTAAATTACTATAAATTAGTAACTGTGTGGCGATGCTGCCTTCTACATGTTCTTCATTAGAAATCTGGGAAACTTTACAAGAAAAACCTTTCAAAAGACTTTAAACTACCAATGAGGAAAAAACTTGTCTGCCTTCTTCCTTTATATAAGTATAGGGGCTATATATAGCTATAAGTGCATACGTGCATGTACACTAAAAACCGAAAAAACCAAGACGTGGTCTCGGATAAGCTACTTTGACAGTCCTGACAAAACTCCATCCAGCCCATTAAACAGATAACACAGCCTCTGCCTGTAGCAGAAATGCTGCAAACCATGGCCGACTGCACTCAGCATATAAATGCTATACATCCAATCCTAGATGACAAGCCAGCTCTCAGTGATGACACCCTGCCACTCTCTGCTACATCATGGTATATGGAGGAGCAGCACTGTGGCTCTGGCTCGCAAGCACAAACAAAGATCATTTCCTAAACAAAGATCTGGTTACGCAATCCTGCCTCGCTGGCCCCGTGTGACTTTGAGGCAGCGGTTGAAAGCAGCAGATTAGCACCCCGCTGGCCCCAGGCCACTTACTCCTTTAATGCTCCGGTTTGGCTCAATATGACCTGAGAATTATCCAGATCTCAGCAACAGGCAATGACAGTCTATTTATAACTAGATGACTCAACAAATAAAAACATGCCCTTTATTAATAGAGATTAAAGAGGCAAATGCATTGTATTATAGTAAAGGGAAACAGGGGAGGAAAAAATCTCTTCATGTAAAACAAAGTTTCAAGCTAGCATATATGATGTGCAACAGTTTAAGGAAGGAGTGTGAAAGGGAGGGCTACTGAGCAGCTGAACTGTAAATCCCTGCATCAGGTATTCTTGTACAGTTTTGACCACCACACCATAGCATGCTGAACTCAACACAAACATGTGTAACTTACCTCCTGTCTTCATCAAAAAGTAACCAAGCTCTTCAGATTACTGCATCTAAACACTTATATTCAATCAAGGCGGTAAGCAAACTGTGCCGATGCTAACTTAATTCTCCCTTGTTCCTATAATACAACACCCAACATAAACCACTCAATACTGTGTAGCAAATCCTTGTAACTGAGTTCTCGTGTCCAGACTCTTTTTTCTCCCCCCTTAAACCATCAGGGGAAGGCATCCAGGGAAAGACTTGTGACAAACAGTCAGGAGTGAAGTCTTAACACATGGTGCCTCAGTTCACACAGAATATGAGTTGAATTCGAAGACTGAGATTGTGCGGATGATTCTTGCGTAGGGTAGCAGGATTGTCTTCAAGGATTCAGTGTCTTGGGCCTCTCCATTTCTTCCATAAGGTAAACAACAAAGATTTCTCCCTTTCTCTCAGAGTATAAGCTAAAAGATGAACCCTTTATGCAAAAAGAAAAACAAACGAAAGCAGCCACGAGTCAATGAGATGGAGTAGCTCATCAGAAAAAAAGAAAAGTCGGCACGGAGACGAAAAATAAAAGGGCTCGAAATAAATTAGTCCAAATATGACGCTGCCGTGGCTGAACACACAGAAGGTTGGCTCGACCTGTCTGCTCCTCAGGTTGGCTCTGTGAGCTCTGAGAAACACTGCTCTTAACAGTCCTCCCCACTCACATGCATGTCCAGTGAAGAGAGCACTTCATGTGCATGGCGCTAACTCCTTCAGACCACTCCAACTCATGCTGCCCAAAGGCAAAGTGGCAAGCAAGGAAAGGAGGGGGAGGGAGGGTTGAGACTTGTATTTATATGAGTGTGTGAAGAGTGAGTCTTTGAGTGAATTAGTGTACGGGGGGTGGGGGGCAGTGTGTGCAAGTGAGCATGAGAAAGAGGTAAAAGGAGAAATGGGAGTAGGGGAGTGAGTGGGAGCAACTATATGTGTATAATATCTGTGTGTTCAAAGCACAGAAAGAGCATGTGCAGTGGGGTAGAAACGCATAAGTGTCAACACCACACAACTCCACGGGAGAACCCCCATCAATGTGACAGCTACTGCACAAGTAATTTCTTCTATCTGACAATAATCAAACTAATTCACACGCATACAGATGTGCAGTGGAAACGCAGCTCACGAAGACGGGACAGCAGCCAGGCAACAGGCTTTTATGCTAGCTTTTGCCTTCCAGTCATTGCTTTTGTCTTAATGCTACTGTAGCTACCTGCATGAAAACACATCTACAAGCTCTGAAAAGTGGTGTGGAGCTTTTAAGAGTCCCATAAAAGGATCCGGTCCCAGACAAGGATGCGAAGCCAAAATCAGATTTTCATTCAACGTCACTGCTGAGGTTTGTCAGTTTGACCCACTTAAAATTGCAATGCATCTTATTTTCACTTCATATGCTCATACACTGCCAAAGCATTGTCATTCAGCATAAAATTCTGCTGTCTGGTCTCAGACACCACCTGCTTTGCAAAGATATGCACAAGGTTTATTTTATGTAATTTATGTACATTAATTTATGTTAATGTATAACCACTACCTTTGAGGAGGCTAAACCTTGTTAAGGACTCTGCAGGACCAAAGCCTTTGAGCCTAAAGATCATGAAGGATCACACCAATAATCCTGCAGCAAAGCTACTTCCTCTTTTTAAGAAACAGCAAATCACAGAACATGAAAGCACTGACTGAGAAAAGGAAGAATAAAATATTTTCACCAGTGTCCCGTCTACATTAACATTTCATAATTTGCTTAAACATAACATCCAGTGACTTTTGATAATTAACAGAAAATATAGCTCCTCATCTATGTCATTGCTCATGTATTTATATTGCAGCACAGCTGCCACTAGACAGAGGAGTGATAAGGAAAACGGGCCCATTTTTTTAGCCTAAGCCATGTTAATCTGCAGTAAAACTGGTCACACCAGTTAACAAATTTATCTTGGCCCAGTCCCCAGAAATACCATAAGCTATGATTACTCTGACTCTTTAGGGGCTCTATATATACTCTGAGTATACAAAAAATGGTTAAAGTACACAAGCTTAAGTAGAAGAAGAGGTCGTACTGGACGGGGCTCCCTGGGATCTGTTTGTTAGAAAGTATGTGAACCAACACACTGTACTGAAATCCATATTAAAACTAAATATGAGCATGTGCTCTGATTCAGTATCAGATTTATCAGGGAAGAACAACCCTTTGTCCTTGATCTGTATAAACACTTAATTTGGTTCCAAGCTAGACTTTAGTTTCCTTAATTCAGTTAAGGAAACTAAAGTCTAAAGTCAGTCCTTTGTTCAGCTAGCTTTATTCCTCTTTTGATGATCTTCTCCCTCACAACAAGAAAGTTTGAGATATAATACATAAAGGCTTGCTGAGGTATAATAGGCCTCTTTTAAAGAGCCAGAATGGGTACAATTAAAAGCAGAGTCACAAGCTTGTCAGCCAAGAGACCACAGTTGTTTTAAAACTTGTTTTCCCTTTATTGTTTTTTGTGAATTCTTTTCATTTTCAATTTTGGGTCAAGTTTAGGCACTAAAAAGTACTTGGTTAGTTTACAGATTCAAAACAGGCTGCTCATGTTTCATCTCTGCTGGTCACGCTTAAAGACCCACCTGTAGCATGTGCTGTCGGAGCAGGGGTTGTGTACTCGTACGATGATGAAGACATGTTGAAAGTGGGAGCGAATAGTCTTGGGAGTGAAAGGGTGAGCTCCGGGCTCCTGGAACACTATGGTCACTATGTCGTTCCCAATGTGCCGCTTTCTCAGCAACTAGTCATTGAAAAACAAGGAATTTTTAGAGAGGCGTGACAACTGAATGTAAAAGTCATACAAAGGATTTGGTACGTTCCATTTACTGGCATTCAAAAAAAACCACATTCTTTAAAATGAAACCTGATTCCTGAATGATAAGTCATAACATTCCTCTCTGATGTCTTTGTGGCGCAAATAAAAAGGCGTTTTTCTTTTCCGAAAACACAACTCAGGACATACCACGAAATATGTACTCCCCATCTTTACCTGCTGTTTGTTGTTGGGCGTGTAAGGCAGCAGAGTAGACACATGGAACATGATCTCATAATCCTTGTATGAAGTGTACAGGGAGTGAGTGCCCGTGGAATCCGCTGCAGGAAAAATAGGAATACAGTGTTCAGACTCATTGTATTGCTACTGCCATTCATTTTTCTTTTCAGTGTTTTTTTGTGCAAGACAGGATGCAATTTCACTGTAGCACAAACAGCTACACAATAGTCAGCTGTGGATCAATGTCAGCCTGTCACAGCTAATGTTAATAAAGAGAACAATTAATTGTTTTACTCATGCATCCTGTAAGGGAAGCTCGTTACATTTTTCCCTGCCATTGCACAACAAAGGGCTAGAATTACTAAGCAGGGAAAAATAGGCCGGGACCTAATATAGGAGCAGAGAGTTCAATGTGCAAATGTATGGAAGTTTAATTAATTTCCAGTGTTACAGCTGACCCGTCAGATTAATGTAAATAATAATTATTTACTATCACATTCTGTAATGTATTTATTGAAAATGTGCGCATCTATCTCATTTTTTTTTTTAAATTTGCTGTGTGAGGCTGCAGATCTTTATTAAAGTCACGTACAGCACAGCCACCTGTGGGCAGCAGACAAAATCTGAATTGTGGCAAAATACAAAATTATATTGAGTGAAACCTGAGCGTCATTATTACAGCACACTTCTCACATCTGTCTGAGTCACAATGGTAGTTTCATTTTGACATATAACATGTTATTTAATTGATCTGATAATAAAGAGAAGGTAGATTTGTGGCGTTTAAACACAGCTCTGT